TTAGGAGAGAAAAAGAATAGCCCATGATGCCAAAACTGCATATGAGTGAGGATGCATTTTTGTGTTTTATGTTACATGTAAATAAAATATACATATATTTCATTACATTATAATATTATGTTATATTCCCAAAATGCTATGTCTTCTCATTCCAGTAAGTCTTGGCCCCAAGGAATTCTTGGATGCTTATTTAAGAATTAATTGCCATTCTCTGGTTCATCTCTGTCATATAAAAGAAAATGAATGTATCTAGTGGGGTGTTGGAGTTGGCTTGTACAACAGGCTCTCAGGAGAACAAATGATTAAATTTTCAGGAACTTTGTGAACTGGTTGGTTAACAGCCATTCTTAAAGCTGTTTTTTTTTTTAAACAAAAGGAATTAGTACTAAGAACACCACTAATTTTTTTTAATACTATCTATGCTTTTGAGGTTTACATCTACACTGTAAGGTATCTTCTAGTGGAAATACAAAACAATGGTGTGCTACTGTTTTTTTCTTCCCAGCTCCTTGCCTATTGACATCACATCAGAAGCTTGAAATGGGCCATGGGATGAGTATTTACACCAGGGCAATTGACAAGTACCACAAATCATGTCACTTCCTTCAGAGACTGCTTGTTAAATGCTTCCCAGCACACTACTGTCTATGATTCCCAGCCGAACTCAGAACTCAACTATCAATGATGCTTCTCTTTCACAGATGAGAAACTTGATGTTGTGAGCATGACAAAAATCTGTTCAAATTCTCACAGCTGACAAATAGTAAGCCCAGGACTAGAGTTCAAGGTTTCGAAAGCCTACTTCATGCTCTTTATATCCTAGAGAAAAAAGGCCACCTCAGATCCTAAAGAGAAACTTGGATGCTAGGGTGAACTTCCCAGCTTAATCTTGACCCTGGAGAAAGTTCTGCCCTTAGTATTGGCTGAGAGATCAAATATTTTAATTTTTGTAATAGAAATCCTTAAAATATGAAAAATATGGCTTTAGCTAGTAGTCCCCAAGTGTTGTCTCACAAGAAACTCAGTATTTAGCAAGGTTTGTGTATGCATTGCATGTTGTGGGTGGGAACAGGTGGGTGATACAAGAAGATGAGACTAACTGGGAATCTTATAGATAGAAGCTCTGTTGTTGATGTTTTAGATATCCCACCTTCTCCCAGATTTACAGCGCTTACCCTCACTACCACATACTCACACAAGACACATATGGTAAAGTTGGAAACATGATAAAAAATAAAGAGAATGAAATACAGTTGGAACACTTGAAACACACCTTCCAAGCAAGACCTCAGTTCACATCTATTTGCATAATTCTATTTTTTATAACATTTAAAAGATTATATTGTAGACCCAATCTAAGGGCATACAATGTTTATAGGTTTCCCAAGAGTAAGGATTATAATTTCCTAAATAGAAAGGAATTCAACATCAGTCTCCATTTCAGAAACCATTGGTGTTAACTCTATGAACTCTTGAGAGACCATGGTTTATAAATCTCTTATAGAGCAAACAGTGTATTTATTATACTTTACTTTGTTAAAATTAATAATGAATGTAATACTTGATAATAAATTAATGACTTGCATGGCCCAGCTACTGCCCTCAAGGGACTCTCCTCACTTGCTACACTTGCTCAGTGCTTCCATAATTATTACATCAGCAATTCTGTAATGGTATTTCTAATTCAGTATTTGACTCCCAATTTGACACTCAACCTCACACCACTCAGACTTCTATCTTTTTTTCTATCTTAGGAACTCAGGTACATTGTAAATGTTGTCCTTGACAACCACAGTATATAGTGTTTCTAATGCAGTGTTTGTCTAGATGCAATGTCATCCTAAATATAAAAGGACAGGGATAGTGTCTCCACCAAATCATACACTTGGGTATTCAACTTGCAACAACTCCTGAATTTTTTAAGTATGAGTGATGGTTTCTGGTATACAAATGAAGGACTGTGATTAGGTGAGAAGTGGAGTCTGGTTGCATTCTGTGGTCCTCTGGAGGGTTGAGGGTCATTTAGATGGCCACAAGATACTCTTTACTACTGTTACATCCAAATAGGATGGACCAAGGAGTGGAGGAAGATACACTGTCAGCTTAATGCAGAACTTTCAATGAAGAAGGGAGAGCTATCTGGGTAACCTTGAGAGATTTTATGTTTCCATGTGCACAGATCATGTAGAAGATGCAGAGAGCAGGCATGCCCATTCTCAGTTCAAGCCATTCTCTCATTCCTTCATGACACTTGGTGAGAAGGCTTCCTGACGCGACTTGGACTGCTCATCCTTTGCTTGAGAATCCATGGAAACTCAGCTGTACCGGTGGGTCCCCAACGGCTCCATTCTTTAACTCCCTTTTCAACATGTACAGGAGACATTCCTGCAGCCTACTTAGGAAACTATTTCTTGAGGAACAGTCATCACATTTCTGAAAAATTATGGTGGCAGCTGATCCAAAATCTTGGCCTTGAACTCCAGCCAATGTTTTCTTGACTCCAAAGTGTCCTGCCAAAACAAAGTAATTGCACAGCTGACAGAACCTCTCTTGTTACCTCTCAGGAATGACCATAATTTACAGCCTGCAATGCCAATGGGGGTCTCCCAGTGAACATACGGCTACTCTGGGTGCATTTCAGTGAGTCATCTCAGGGCTAATGACCTTCTCATATTTACCTTCTCAGGAAAACACGGAATTCCTTGTTAGAGGAGCATGAACTCCACTGATAAGGAGCTGTTTTTACTGTGACTGTGTGCTCCTTTTCACCTTCCAGGTGCCTACTGATTTCCTGACCCGAGAGTTTGGTGCTATTTCCTGAGACCTCCAATTCTTCTCTCAGGTCTTGGTTTCAGACTTGAGGTAGCCATGACCAAAGTTGTCACCATGGAGATTTGTTAAAAGAAAGATATCATATTGGGTTTTTAAAACAGGAAGTTTCCCTCCTTTTAAAAGGAATAATCACTTTATTTTTCTGAACACTCTAGGCTTGACTGTACATTGGAAGGCAAGGTAGGTTTTGATTTCAGGATCCTTCGGACTATAGAGTCTATAGTCTAGAAGCCTTGGAACAGAGCAGGGAGGAAGAGTGGAAGATATGTCCCGAAACTTTGGGAACCTGGGTGAGAAGATGAAGAGCTGAAGTCTCCAGGTGACTAAATGTTCAAGAGTTGCAGGCTCTGGGGGTCTCCATGGTCTGTTGTTGTACTAAAGAGGCTTTGGAGTCCTCTGCTTTCTGATAGAGAGAAATACATCCAGAAGAAGCATTGAAAAAGTTCCTTACTTTCTTCCTCAGAATCAACCACTGGGGAAAAAATCTGGGGACACGTTTTGACCAGGAGCCTAGAAGTCACTCAAGGTCACCCAAGAGAAATATTCAGTCATGTCAAATTTTCTCTGAAACATTCATCTCTGTTCCTGCATGACAGCTAAAGCCCAAGTCCTTTTTCTGTAACCTGGCAAACTCCCCACCCTTTTTGTACCCAGGAAGGCAGTCCTTTGGCTCACACTCTTACTGCTCTGGTGTTTACTCAACCCCTTCTGCATTTTGTGTCCCTGAGCTTTCCCTTAATTTTTGTGTGCGCTCAGCTATGCATTTATAGGAATGTTGTTCTACCTGCCCAATATTTCAAGCTCTCTCAAGGGGATGGTTTCCAGGCAATCACATCTTCCATACTGCTAGAAAGGATGTCTTTGCAATTTGATATAAAGGGGGGCGAAAAGAGATCCATGACCTCCCTTAGTCTTAGGAAGGACAGGCCTTGGCAAAGTTCTGAGTTGGGTCATTGTGGTGAGGTAAGTTTACATACGCGGTGGTCTTTAACTACTTTTCGGAGGAGCTTTCTGACATGGGCATCAGTTACATTTTCCTGCGGGGTTCCTGGGTCTGTGGCCTGGTTCACCTGACTGAGTCCCTAAATGTCCAGTGGACACACTTCCCACGTGGGCAAGAGAGGCTCCTCTTCGTACTTATGGTCCAGACTGCTGATGTCTGTTTCTCAGGCTCTAACTCACTGGCTAACCCTGTTTTCAGCTCTTTGATATTCCGTGGCGTCTCACTGACTAAATGTTCTGAATCATTGCCTTGATCCAATCTAAAAACCCATGCATACAGGTGCATTGTCAAGGAAATTCTATGGGGACTACACCTGAGGGGGTGTGGGGAAGCAAATATTGTTTAAAAATGAACAATGATGTAAAAATAAAAAAAAATAAAAAAATAAAAAAATAATTTCTCTTAAAATAGAAAATAAAATGCTCGTTTATTAAAAAAAAAAAACAACCCATGCATAACAGATCAGAGGGATTAATATGGAAAGAAAATTTTTCCTTTATGACTAAAACTATGATGCACATAAACCAGAAATATTAAAAAAAATGAATGGTGGCGAGGATGGATGGATGGAAGGAAACTGGATCCCTGAAGATGCTGATAACCCGTCTGGAGCCACCATTGTAAGGACTTTTTTCTTAAGTGATGTCATTACTATTTAAGCTACTTGAGAGGGGGTTGGCTCTCTATTATTTTCAGTCCTAAATGTCCCAAATCACATAGACATTTATAGTTTGCTGAAAGGCTTTAGCAAAGTGTGGCATGGTAAGATGTGGTTGGAAACAGGTGGTCTAGTTTTATTGTGTGGAGACGGGGATGGAGAGACTTAAGAATGGATACGGAGTGTAAGTATAAAAGAACCTGGTTTGAGAGGGAAGATTATGAGGCACATCTTGGGCATGTTGAGTTTAACCTGTGTTTAAGTTTTCCTAGGGGAGATGCCAAGTGGTGGTGAAATTATGAAACTTAGAAATGAGATCTTGTGTGGATAGTTACATTTAGGAGTCACTGATATACGGAGTACATCAATATTTATTTTGAAATCATGACTGCCAGGGGATGGGTCTGCCTGAATACTTAAGGAATCTCAGAATCTACTAGGGACAGTTAGAATAGGGTGAGTATCCAAGGGAGACAGAGAATGAGAAGCATTGTGAGGGGTTAAATATTCTGAAGTTAGTCCACAGCTATCAATGTAAGAACCCATGAGACAGAGGACTGGACTTGATGATGTCTCAGAATCCTCCCACTTCTTGTATTGTGGTTGCGAGTAACTGTCTCATTTCCCCCACCATGCAAGGTGTTCTCAGAGGTCAGAAACTTCTCTCCTTAACTGGCAAGGTGCTTGAATATAGTTGGACATCAACACATTCTTTGGTGAATAAGTATTTGGCAAGTAATGAAAAACACTGGGTGAAACTGCTGAAACTTCTCTTCTATTGAATTCTTTTTGTGGTATGTGTTTTTAAAATTGTATTATTTTTTTAATGTGGTAATAGGAGTTTACAGCATGCATGTTATTCAGAGGTATAGGTTCACGTCTCTTCAGGTTTATGTTACGTCATACCCACCACAAAATACACCCGTAATACTTCCTTAATCCATCCTCCGGCTGGTTGGTCTGTCTATCTATCTGTCTTCTTTCTGTCTGTCTAATTATCTATCTATTTTCCTCCCTCCCTCCCTCCCTCCCTCCTACCTATCTTCAATGGCTTCTTGCTTATGACCTATAAAGTCTGATTGAGCTCAAAGGCTCAGTAAAAAGAAGACATAAGAAGAGAGGTAAGGGTTGCTGTGCATTTTCTAAAGTCCTGTATTTAATGAGCATCCAGCCATCTGCATAAGGTGGTAGAATCTCTACCAATCACTGACTTCCAGATATCTAATTATTTCGGTATGATCAGAACATACAGAAGATGAAATAATATTTACTCTGACCAGATATTCTTATGTTACCAATGTTGACTATTTTCTTCCGTACTATAATACTTCCAAATTGGATCCCCCCTCAGCTGAGGAAGAAGGGAATGTTGCATTTGGCCAAAGCAGGCTTCAAAAATGAATCTAACATCAGGGCCTCCCGGGTGGCGCAGCGGTTGAGCGCTGGGTTGTGAAGCTGCCCGCAGCCTCTGCAGCGCCGGTTCGATCCCCGGCCGCCGGTCGAGGGTCCCACATGGCGCGCAGACCTCTCCTGCCGCCCGCTGCTCCCCTCAGCAGTGTACTTCGGTCCTTCTGCCTGCTCTGCTCCCTGCTCTGGCTCTGGTGAATTCTCTCACCCTCCCGCGCTTCTGACTGTACCCAGTGTTTGTATAAATAAATAAATAAATCTTTAAAAAAAATGAATCTAACATCAGAGATTGGTATAATCTGCAAGACAGTCATCATTCGTATCGGTTAGTCTTACTAAAGTCCAGTTTTGTGGTGTCTCTAGCTGATATCTACTCAAAATAGAACACTTAACATTCAGCTGAATTCATTACAAAAATGTAAGAGTTGACAAAGACTTGATCCTATATTATATGACAATTGAACAAAGCACAGATTGGAAGATTTACTGAAAACTACCTTTCTTGATACATTCTATTTGTTGGTTTCTTCAATATTGTTATTTCATCTGACAAGACTACTATACACACACACACACACATTTGTTTCCTGGCTTTGGTGATATGCTTCTAAGTAATTGAACTTTTTGAATATTATTAGACCATTTACAATGATCATTTTAAGAGAAAAAAGTTAGTATCAAGCCTTAGATCTTTAAGAAACCTAGGTTGGCTCTTCTGCTTTCACATATCCAAAAGTCTCTCAGAATTCCCTCTTTCTGAAGCCAGTGACCATTAACTTACTCTTAAACCCACACTAAGTGCTATTTAACACAGGGCACCGAAAGCCAGATCGGTCTGGTTTCTGATATCAGTAGTGTCTTTGTTGTGGAAAGATGTCAGTTTCCAAATTCTTACTACACTGTACAGAGCTGTGTACCTCAGGGAACTTTATAGCTCAAACCCCGCTCCTTGGGGACTTATAGCAACTTGTAAATCCATGAGGAATTTTTCAGCAAAGTTCTACTTCTTAGTTTATTCATGGATTAGCCTTGTAAGAGTAGATTCATTCTAAGGCTCTAATGAGCAGGGCGTTTTTTTTTTTTTTTTCCCTCCTCACACCGAAAAGAACACTTGCCTCTCTTTTTCCTACCTATGATGGTTTTAGAATTTATGTTCTCAGTTATATCCCCCATTGACTTTGAAATCTTAGAAAATACCATGGTTCTTCCCAGAATCTAGCACTATTGAAAGCCTTTCTTTATGTAGCATTAGAAAAATGGAGACCCACAAAACTATTTCATACAAATTTGTTACTCTGGTCTTTCAACTCACTAGAACTCACGACAGTGGTCGAATAGCATGCAATTTCTGTTATTGGGGGTGGAGAACAAGGAGATTTTCAAGGTAAGTTCAGAGTCGTGCTGAGAGGAAGTTCTTTTTCTTTTTACTGGAGAAGATTAAAAAGAAGAACAATGGATGTCTTCAGAACGAAGCCCTAATAGCCCCACTGTTCATTGGCTGTACCTACTGGCACCACAGTTGTCACTGGATGGGGTCATTTAATCATACTAGGCTTTTGTTACTTTCTATTCAGAGCTGAAGTTCCTATTAGTCTTCAAAATTTGTTAATTTCTGTTCCACTATTTCCAAACTTCTTTGCTTTCTGTTTCACCTTGGTTCAAATGTATTTCAAGAGTATTTTCTTTTTTTGATCCTAGGATATAAACTCTTTTGAGCTGAAAGATCTGTTACACACTATGCTGTCCTCATTTTACAGATGAGAAAAATGAGGTGCAGACAAAGAAAGGGAAGTACTGATAATGATTTAATGGGATTTGCTTTAAGTCTTAGGTCTTCTGAGTACTAATTCAGCCACCAGCCTGATGAGGCAATATAATTTTAGGCAGCAGTCAGAACCAACGTGTGAACAGTTTGATCTCATTCCTATATACTTAGACATGCCATATATGTGTATCTATTTTCTTTATATATATATATATATAAAGAAATGGTATGAGTTTTATATATATATAAAGAATATAGATACACATATATGGCATATCTATATCTATCTATCTATATATATCTCATACCATTTCTGTGGGCCAGGAACCTGCTCAGGGCTTAGCAGAAGTCTCTCTCAGGTTACAAAAATCAAAGTACCAGCAGGGTGGGTTCTCTGGAGGCCTGAATGGAGAAGTGTCCTTTTCTGAGGTTTCTCAGGTTATTGGCAGATATTTTTCCCTTGTAGATGTAAGGCTGGTCAGAGGTTGTCCTCAGCAACTAGAGGCCATTGTCCCCTCCTTCCTGTGTGGGCCTCTTTTTTTTTTTTTAAAGATATTTATTTATGCATACAAGAACTGGGGTAGAGGCCAGAGGTGTGGGGGATGAGAGGATTCATCAGAGACAGAGTGGGGAGAACAGGTGGATCAACTGAAATATGCTGCTGAGGGGAGCAGCGGGCAGGACAGGAGAGGTCTGCTGCGCCATGTGGGTCACCTCCCTGGCCAGGGATCAAACTCATGTTGCAGAGGTTGCGGATTGCTTCATAGTGCTGATGCTTAACCCCTTGCGCCACCAGGGAGGCCTGTGTGGGCCTCTTAATATGCCCAAAGTCTTCAAAGTCAGCAGGGAAAGTCTCAAGAGTCTTACAGAACTTGACATAATCAAGGAGAGACTAGCATCACTTTTGCCATATTTTCTTGGTTAGAAATAGCTCAGGGGACGAGATTATACAAGGCTGTCAATACCAGAAGATGAGAATCACTGGAATCATTTCAGGTTCTGTTTTCAACACCTCTGAAAAATGACTTTCTTGGGCTGACAGAAATAAATTCTAGGCATACAATATTTTCCCGTGGATGATCATCAACTTGTAAGCAGGTTTCTAGTGGTATGTCTTGGAGTTTATTCCCTTATCTCTTTTAATAACTGTATCCCTTTTATCAATGACTCCATGAAAATATAAGAGAAGTTTTTCAGACTTATGGGTGAATGAGATCAGAGTGTTAGTAAATAATGTGGATGACACAATTAGGTTTTGATTTTATATCCATGTTAGTGTAACAGGGATAATATTTTTATGGGATTTATATTAAGATGATTTTTGGGGGCCTCCCTGGTGGTGCAGTAGGTTGAGCGCAGCGCTGTGAAGCTATGAAGCTGTCCACAGCCTCTGCAGCGCTGGTTCAATTCCCGGCTGGCCAAGGAGAATCCCACACGGCGAGGCAGACCTCTCTCCTGTCTCGCCCGCTGCTTCAGTCCATCTGCCTGTTCTGCTCCCTGCTCTGTCTCTGGTGAATCCTCTCACCCTCCCATGACTCCGGCCTGTACCCCAGCTCTTGTATAAATAAAAAAATAATTTTTTTTTAAAAAACAAAAAATAAAAATAGAAAAAAAAAGAGATCATTTTTGTATTTGAATTTCCTTGTATGTGATATTTTCTTATTCAGCCAGAGGCATCCATTTGCAGCCTAATTTCCCAAAATTAGGATTTTTGCAGCAAGAAACAGGGACAAAGACAATGCTCAACTTCTGTATTCCAAAAATGAAAGTTTTGAGTTCACAGATGGACAATATTTTGGAAAACTGGCTTTGTTGAGAGAGAAGAGGCTTTTCTCAATTTCTTTAGCCCCCAGTAACATTTTTGATTATGGAGTTTTAATAAGAAAGGGAATTTAAGTATGATGTCATAGAAATGTCTGCTTCATTGAAGAAGGAAGGAAAGCTCACCCCTTGTAATCTCAGAGGGCTATGGGAAGGAAAAGCAGAAAAAGTGGAGGTGAGAAGTTAGAGCTCTTTAGTCTCTAAAGTTCAAAGCCAAAAATCTAGCGCTGCTGAAATACCCAAAGAGGTAATGGAAATCCAATCATACTAGAACAATTGGCCAGTTTCCTAAGGAGTAACCTCAGGTAATCTGCAAAGTTCTTGAACTGGTCTCACAATGGATTGAGCAACCATAATTCCCAATGTGGCATAGCACAGGGAGGTGACTTGATTAGATGACTTGAGGCACTTAGAGCCTCCTATGATATGTCATGTTGTTCTAGAAACTTAGACATCCTCAACCTGCCTCAGGAGAGGCTGAGAAGGCTGGAATACAGAACAGAGATTCACAGTGACATTCTTGGGCCTTACCTGGGCTCTGTGATCTAAAAAAACAAGGAAATACTAAGAAATCTCCCACCCTTTTGTGTTGCAGGAGAAGGCACATGGCAAGGAAGCCCTCTCCCTCATGTGACCTAGTTAAGCCTCTCAGATGCCACCTTGTTTACCTATGACAAGGCCAATACAGGCCTTCCAAAGTCATATTCTTTGTCTCATAAACGATTAGCTGAACTGCTTGTATTGACTGATCAACTGGAACAAGGTACTTGTTGATTAAGTGTCGGTAGGATTACGATCTTTCTTTTCCCAAGATCTCTGAACTTTGACCCACTCAGCTTGGGGACACATACCACCCATGCTAAGAGGAGGCAGATCTCAGGGTAAATATTCTCTAATCTATTATTCTCTCATATCACCCTTTCATCCCAGTTCTACACCCAGGTCTTTTAGCTCCATTTCCTTATCTCTAGAAAAGAAAACTCTTTGCTGAACTCTCAAGATGCTCACAGGTCCATGGCCAGGTGTTCTCTCCATTACGATCAGTCTCTCCTCTTATCGCAACAGCCCTTTTCCCCTTTGGCAACAGTCCTTGAGTAGACTGTCTCTTTACTAAGTTTGGATTTGTTTTTATTTGACAAAAGCATGCAGAGAGTTTGTGATCAGTGGCAAATGACCAGGGTCACTGATCCAGTTGTAGATGCCAGTGGGATGGCCCACAGCTCAGATAGTGTCTTCTGAACCTCAGGAATGAGACTAGACACGTGTCTCAATGGTACCAACCAGGGAGAACCTGGTTCTCCAAAGGATGTCATTGGGATTTGGGGTCCCTTTTCATTAGTCACGAAACTTCATGGTCCCATCCTTCATTCAGTCAGTGTCTGGGAGATGAGGAGCTGGGTGACCCAAAGGACTAAAAACTACTCAAAAGAACTGAGTTAGTTGCTTCCAGCTTAAAAATCTATTTTGAACAAGACACCATTATGGAAAATTTGTTTTTTCTTGCCACCCAGCAGGGTCTTGTGAGTGTGACTAGCTCTGCTACCAAAAATGTACAAAAACCACATTTTCTTAGCACAGCTGACACAGTAGTACATGCAAATCTGTGACCAGCTCCCCTAGAATTATGAATCAAATAAAACAAGATGATGTTCCACAGCAGTAAATGGAAGATCCTGCCTTTGAGTTCAAAGACATGTAAGTACAGGATGCGAATATTTGGTTTAGGAAGAGCACAGCGGCACTCAGGAAGAAAAAAATGAAGGATTGTATTAGTCAGGAATTTTCAGGTTGCAACTTACAGAAATCCAACTGGAATTAGGCAAAAGGGCAAAAAGGGAATTTATTGACTCTCAGAATCCAAGAACAACCAGACTGAGGGAAGGGAGGAGGCTTCTGGGTTACAGGGATAAACGGGGCAAGGGACACAGGAGCCCCGGGGCGCTCTCCTTTTTGAGTCTAGGCTTCTCTTTGGGTGGCATTCTCTCCTTTGGGGTTTCCTCTCTTACTGCGGCTCTCCTGCATGGACTGGAAAGCCTCACCTCTTCTGATTTTTGCTACTGGACTTGAGAGAGGTTCAGAAAAATTCTGTGCAAGGATTCTGATAGGAAACCTGGGTTTCTGTAGCCAGGGAGACTGAATCACGTCAAAGAAGGCACTTCTCAAAATAGCCACTTAACTGTGCTGCTGGGCAGGTGGGAAATTGTAGGGCCAGTCCTAAATGTTAAGATGCCAGTCCTAAATTTTAAGATGCAGTCCTAAAGTTTCTGGATAAGTAACCCCAAAAAGTCCAGTATAAGTGTGTGGTCAACGTTGCTAATATATTAACTCAGTGAGAACATATTTTCCAGATAAACTGATGGGGCAGGCACCTGAGGCCCTGGACCTGAGGAATTGAGGGTGCAGCAGTTAGCACACCAGGAAGCTGGGGTTTCATTGAGGGGGTCACATGTAGACATTAGACCAAAGTGAAGGTGTGTGAGGGAAGCAACTACGCTGATGGGGCCACTCATCTGTTCCTTGTCGTTGCTGATGTGGCTACATGAGGAACCCCTGAAAGCACTGAAGATGTTTAGCCGGAGGTGAGAAGGGTCTGGGGACAAGGTAGCTGCGCTCAGTTGCTTCTGTTCTTTGTGGACTGATACAGAGAAGCTTCAGGTCAACAGATGGGCTCAACATAAGGACTTCCTCACAATTAAATCTGTCCCAGGACGGATGGGTGTGTATGTGTGTGATGAAGGAGGGAGATAACACGATATGGCAGTACAGGGTTCATTTATTCTCTCTTTTATCCCTTCATTCATTCAGCAAATATTTATTCGTTAGCAAATAGACAACATGAACAAATAGACAAGAAGTTCCACACGAGCAGCTCATCACCATGCTCCCAACACTTGGCCCAGTGTCCTAGCACTAGATTGACATTTGTTAGCGAGGGGTGTGGTCACTGTGCTAGGTAGTCGGCATGGCCACAAGACCCTCAAGGAGTGACAGCCTAGGAACCAAGATGGATGATGCTCTGCATGCGGTGCTCCAGGAAGGCATGTGGGAGCACGCTGAGAACACAGAGGAGTAATACTGGCAGGAGGTGGACTTGGGCCTGAGAATGGTTGGCAGAATTGAAACTTCTTTTTGGGAAAGGTGAACAAGGTGGAGAGCAACTGGAAGAACATTGCCAGAGGGGAGCGGAGTGGGGCGAGGTGGGTCCTATTCCTCCTCTGGGTCCTCTGGTTCTGTCCTTTCCATCTCTGCACTGTACTGCCGACTTCTGCCCCTCAGTAGGTGGGGAGAGGAGGGGGGCAGCAAGGAAACCCAGGGGGTACTGAGGAGGCCTTCAACCTAGCTTCTCCCTCTGGGAGCGGGCAAGGGCCTAGGATCATCCAGCTGCCCTACCCTGCTCAGTGGAGGCCCTTCCCCCACCCTTTCCTCGTGTTCATGTTCTTACTCCCACACTCTTTCTTTTTTTTGTGTGTGTGGGACCCTTGCTGGCGGCTGGGGAAAAAACTGGTGCTGTAGAGGCTGCGGGGCAGCCTCGCAGCCCAGCGCTCAACCGCTGCGCCACCAGGGGAGGCCCAACCACACCCTTTCTTATCCAACCTGACCTCCTTTCTCCTGTGATGCAATTTTACATCCACAGTACCATAAGAGTGTAAATGATGGACAAGGTTTAACGGGTTACCCATTCAGGGTGCATTTGCATTTCAATAAGAGAGGGCATTTTTAGCCAAAAGCAATGACATCCTTAATGATAAATTTTGAGCATTTTCAATAGAAGTAGAAGGATTTATAAGAACTGACTTAGTTTTATTTAAATTATTAAATTTATTAAAGTAGTTAATTAACTAAATTAATATTTTTATTTTAATTAAGGGTTATTGTTTGTATTTTGGACGTACAGGATCACTCCCTCAAGGTGTTGTTGCCATGGTGCTTGCACCACCAAGACACTCATAGTCTACCACTAGCGTCCATTGTGCTTCCCCCCAGTTTTAGCTCACCCTTTCCTCTCCCCCTCACTCCCTGGATGTCTCAGTTATATAGTCAGCTTTCAAGGGTTTCCTTTGAGTTTGGCTTTATTTGACCCTCTGTCTGGCTTTTCTATATTCCACATATAAGTAATACACATCTGGTATGTGTCTTTCTCCTTTGATGTATATTGCTTAGCATAATCCCTTCCAGCTCCATCCATGTTTCTGCAAACAGCATAAGTTTATATTTTTTGATTGCTAAGTAGTATTCCATTGTGTGTGTGTGTGTGTGTGTGTGTGTATCTCACATCTTCTTGATCCACTCAGCTGTTTTTGGGCACTTAGGTAATTTCCATAGTTTGAATATCGCAAATAGTACTATAATGAATATAGGAGCGCAGGTTTCCCTTTGAATTAGTGTTTTTGCTTTCTTTGGGTGTATACCTATGAGTGGAATTGCTGGGTCATATAGCACATTCTTTTTTTTTTTAAAGATTTATTTATTTATTTATACAAGAACTGGGGTACAGTCCAGATGTGCGGGAGGGTAAGAGAATTCACCAGAGACAGAGCGGGGAACAGAAGAGGCAGACTGACGAAATGCACTGCTGAACGGAGCAGCGGGCAAGACAGGAGAGGTCTGCCATGCCATGTTCTATCCCTCGCCTGTCAGCTGGGATAGAACCGGCACTGCAGAGGCTGCAGACAGCTTCACAGCATGGTGCTCAACCACCTGCACCACCAGGGGAGGCCCGGTACATTCATTTTTAATCTTTGGAGAAACCTCCATAATGTTTTCCATAGGGGGTGGACCAGTCTACATTCCTACCAGTAATATAAGAGGGTTCTTATTCTCTACATCTTTGTCAGAAATTACTGTTTCTGGTCCTTTTGATATGGGTCATTCTTAAATAAAAAAGAGAAAAAATTGTGGCATCATACTGCCAGATCCCAAACTATACTGTAAATCCATAGCAATTAAAACAGCATGGTACTAGAACAAAAACAGACTCACAGACCAACGGAATAGAATTGAGACCCCAGAGATAAACCCACATTTATATAGACAGTTAATTTATAACAAAGGGGCCAAGAACATACACTGGAGCAAGGAAAGCCTCCTCAATAAATGGTGTTGGGAAAATTGGACAGCTGCATGCAAAAGAATGAAACTAGATCATTATCTCACACCATACACAAAAATCAACTCAAATGGATGAAAGACTTGGAAATGAGACCTGAAACCATAAAACACATAAAAGAAAGCATCGGCAAAACACTTCATGACATAATCTTCTGTGATATCTTTGTGGATATGTTGCCAACAGTAAGGAAAACAAAAGAGAATATAAACAATTGGGACTACATCAAACAAAAAAGCTGTATAGAGAAAGAAACTGTAACCAAAATGAAAAGACACCCTACTGAATGAAAGAAAATATTCGCACACCATACATCTGACAAGGGACTGATATCCAAGATCTACAAAGAACTCATACAGCTCAGCAAAAAGAAAATAAATAACCCAATCAAAAAATGGGCAGAAGAGCTAAATAGGCAGTTCTCCAAAGAAGACATACAGATGGCCAACAGGTATATGATAAAATGGTCATCACTTATTGTCAAGAAAATGCAAAGCAAAACCACAAGAAATAACTTCTTTACTACCCTCACTTTCTAAAATTTTATTTCATACTAGGGATCATGGATTGAGAAATCAGTTTTGTGGTTTACGGCTAATTTGCTAATAATCAAATAGAAGGCAATGGAAGAGATGAAAATATCAGAGTTCATAGCA